TGTCTTAAGAAAACTTAAGAAATGGCAAAAGAATTCATTCCGTCCCTATTTCTACTTTCATTCGTCAAAAGATTTTCAAAATTGTTCTACTTGAACTCCGAGGTCGCGGTTTTAATAAATCTATTTTCATTTGTATTTTCTTTTCGAACCGATATCGGTACAAGATGATATTTTATATTTATACAATTCCTTTATCCCAAAGTAACTCAAAGGAACGCTCCCAAAAGAAACTAACAATTTAGATTTCGATAAGAAAAGAATAAGGAAAGATATTCGTGCTGGCTGCAATTTGATGGCGAAAATTCAAAGGAAAGCCAACACACAATTTGTGTCCCTTTTGACTTTTTCTCTACCCGAGCTTCCACTACATCATGTCTTGCTTATTACAATTCCAATGCAAAATTACTTACTTATAAGAATAAAATACATATATTCTGAAATTAGTTTTGTATTTCCGCCACGTATAAATCGAATATAACAATATTTTTTTCTCTTTCTCTTTTTTAATCAATGCTTCTTTACGCTTTGTGAGCACTAAGCGAAGAATAATTAGGAGAAGCATAGCGAAATCCGCCATCTGATTCTAATCCGGATCGTTCTTGGATGAACGGGAGTCAACACTGCTTGACTGTTAGTCTATTGTTTTGTAACAAAACAGAATTAATGATTCTCACGTAATTAATATTGTAGCCATAAAAACTATAAAAATCCTACATTTAATTCAGTAATTAATATAAAAAACAGTATAAAACAATTAGAGGTTCTTTTAACCATGATCTACGGACTTTCGGTGATGAGTTTGTACTGTACTGTACATTACAAGACGTTATTATTTTGTGATGGAAGAAATGTTTATTTTCCTAAAGCGACTGAAGACTAATATTATTTTTCCTTACTTCTGTACAAACAAGTATAAAAATTTTTAGTTGATTATACGATTTCACTTACAAAAATATTGTTTATGCTTATGAAATATAGCCTATATTTTCCAATAACAGGAGAAAATCGTTGTGTTTTTTGCTAGTTATTTTAAAAATTTCTCGATTACTTCTCAATATTTTTACTCTTTTAAGTTATTTTTTTAAATTTTATGAGAATTAATTATGAATATATGAAATATTTAGATTTTTATTATATCTAAATGATTTGTATAGAAACCTCGTGAAATGAGACTCACGTAAGGATTCGTTGGATTCGTAAACATAATCATGGCATCGCATAATAACCGAAATAACATCTTTGTTATAAGTAAAAATGTTCAATAAAAATCGGAAATTAAAAGGACAAAAATAAATTTCCGTTATAAAGAAAATATACCCGTAAATATGGTTTTTTATTTATTATTTTTTTTTGAAAGAAGTAAAAATAATTTTGTAAGAACGAAGATTTTACACAGATTTTGTAATATTAATCAAAGAAACTCGAAAGCACGATAAGGCGCTTTTATTCTAACTTCCGAACTTTAAAAGACTGACACAAAGAAAGATCTTATCTCTTGTGACTGTATTAAACGTCACTCTTGATATCTGTTTTCATTTATATATACATTTATTTCTCCGAGGGAGTCGAATATTGTGACGAGTCATAGTGCGTCTCGTCTATTAATAAAACTTTACACCCGACATAATTCCGTTGTAGTCGAATGATATTTTGGCAGATAATGTCAAGAAATCTTTATTGGCCATTGTAAAAGTTGCATAAGTCGTATAAGTTTATAACGAACCATTAGAGTCGATTCGAAACTGTATATTTACGGTAGACGACAAGGACCGAGAGCATTTTAATTTCCCATTATCAGCTTGAAAAGTAACATTTTCTAAAAATGAGTCTGCACTAACTGTAAACATTTTTATTTCGGGCATGGTCGTAAAGGATTGCGCTTTTAATAGATTTTATGCAAGCTTAATGGAAAACGAAATCAATTATTTCTGTCGGACGTGTCTATGAGACGGGAAGCGAAAAGAAAAACGAAATTATTGCGGCCAAACGAAGGAGAAAGATGATTTTATTCCCATAGTAAACACAAGTTGGATCGGTACAACTGTGACAGTAAGTGTGACTAGCGGATGTCTCCCCGCGGACTTAACCGACAAATTACTGAGTGGCTCGAGAGATTTGCTCCACAGAGAAATGGGACAATCTGTCTCACGACAGAACGTCTCTGATGGCTGCAACACGACCTACTGTCAGCATTGCCTGAGAGAGGATACGCCGACTAAGCCTGCTTTATGCAACCTGGGAACTTGCAGATGTGCGAGGTGTCTGCCGAAAACATCCAACAAATCAGCTAGTTGCACCTTCGTCTCGCAAATCACTCGCCATTCCTTTACAAATGCCACGCACGTCTATTGTTAAAACTGAATTATTACACACCGCTAAGCATCTAAAATACAAAACGCAAAATTTGAAACTGAATTTTAAACCACATTCGAATGTAGAATTACGTTTTACAACGGAAAAATGTAAAACTTGTAACCTATATTCCTTTAAGGCTAATTCGAATATTTTACTTAAATTGGTAATAAACTAAGAAAGGTGCACTCACGTGTTTAGGCCGCATACGTTGATTGGCTCTATTAATATTTTTTAATTGCTTAAACTACAGGTGACAAAAGTTGACATTGTATAAGATGATGCACTCGAGCGTAACTCAAATAATTGAATTAATTAAAACTATATCCTTACATAAAACTATTTTTTCCCCCGTTCTAACTTTAGATAATTATAAAATAAACGAATTCTCAACCTTATAATTCTCTTCTTTTGTATTGCAAAATTCTTAAATTCATTAAAAGTGCCAAATAATTAAACAATTATATATAATGGAGCCAAGTATTACGTAAAATCACAGAAAATTTGAGTAATAAATATGTTTTATTATTTATCGTTACAGTAATAATTTAGGATTATTATTAAGATTAATATCCACTTGTCTTTATACAAGATAATAAAGATAAATCAATTTAGTCGAGATAATTATAAAGTCTATTATTAGATATAATCTGCCGAATGATTATGAGTATATTATATTAAATGTCATAGAATAACAATAATAAATAGACTGACTGCCGAGGTAGAATCGGTAACCGAACACGATTTAACTTAAGAATTACAGATCTTAAATTGAATTTCTTTTCTATTGCGAATATTAAAAACCACGTTAAAAGCAATCGAGAAAACTTTTAACGAATTCTACTTAAATCGGCAAGGTCAAAGTTTGAAATTTCGTGACTTCATCGTGTTTTGTTTTTAGTTTTTAAACATTGACGAACTGATGAGGCGTACACGCGAAGATAGAAAATTGTTTCTATAGAATTTTTAATAGAGTAAAAATCTGTGGAAATTTTACATTTTTTAACTGGTTTTTAAATTTCTAGAATCGATTTCGATTACAAGGAAAGGAAAGGAAAACTTCGTTAATTGATTTATCCTCTCATTTGATTCGCACGATTAAAGAAGTAGAATAGGTTTATAAGCGGGTTCACCTTTTAGACTCACAAATGACCCAAAGCAGAAATTGGAGTGATTGTGTTAATGTCTCCAATCACCGTTTGGGTTCTACTTTGGAGTTTGAAAGTTCTTTAGTCGATCGAAACCACTTAGTCACTTGTGACAGAGTCGTCAAATCCGTCCAAGTAGCCTTTTAAGTTTACAATGTCGATCTTTAACTATTGCGGATTTTTCGTTGCCCGTGAGAAAAGTTATTAATAACGACCTATTCTTTTTTGACAAGTGATATCTCGCCTATCTTTTCTCTCTTCCATATTGGAATATTATATTTAGCCTTCGTTTAAGTATCGAATTTTTATTTTATTTTTCTCCCGTAAAGATTTTTTTTTTGTCAAAAGACGTTTCCCGCATCCGAGATCGATCTTATATGAAATTGTACCGTGGGGTACTTCGATAACGATAATCAAATCTCTTAGTTTAATCATTTGATAGCAGAATTTATGAATAGAGAAGATACTATCCACTGAATGGTTTTTATCAAAAGACGCTTGTGTATTACTATAATAGTCTACGAAGAACTTTTCTGTCAAGTGGAAAGCGATTGTTACCGTTATAGGTTCGACTAGCCCTATTCCGACTGGAAATATTTATGAAATATTGATTTCGAGTACTTCCCAAAGGAGAGAAAAAAATTTAATATACGTGAGCACTCTAAATTCTATCGAAAATCTGCAACATAAACCCGGCCTCATAACTATATTTTGCCGGTTGTCACCTAAATGTGCAAAGTTTATGTGCAATGGTAAATGCATCGGCGATTAAATATTATAAACGTAGATAAATTAAAATAAAAAGAGGGATGAAGCTATTTAACTATCGCATTCTTTACGGTGATTGGTAATAAATGACATTGGAAGCAATAGGAGTGACTGTCGGGTCGTTAATCAAAGTGGCACGATATTCTTTTCTTTTCGCCAACAGTTCAAAAACAATTACGAGTTTGAAACCTCTTTGAATCATTTACGTGGATCCTCGACAGGTGAAGAGTGTATCGCGAGATACCGAGCCATCAATCGCCGCGCGATGAACGTCGTAACTACTCATCAATCCCTCAAAGGAGAGGTCATTGAATTCCTAATCGCTTCCTAGAAGAAAATTTATAAAAATTGCAAGCAAAAGATAAACATTTGCACGAAACGACATTAAAGTTTTCGTAATTCCTCTCGTTAATCTTTTTAGTCACTTCTTTTCCGATCTTTTTTATTTTTGAGCAGTGGTCTCTTATGGAAAGGGGGAAAAAGGTCGATAGAAAGCGTTTCGGAGGGTTTCGTCGAAGATATAAAATTAAATCCCTCGCTCGATTTTAGAAAAGTGAAGACTGTCGACCTATTTTACCGGCAATGGTTCTGGTATTTTTTGACGGGTCGAAAACGATAACTGATATCGCACCGACAGGCGCGACGTGTCCAAGAAATAGTCAAGCGATACTCAGTTTGGAGTGGTGTCGGCGGAATAGAGCATAACGTGAAGAATGTATGAAAGCAACTTACCTACACAGACAAGCAGAGAGCATAGAGCGAACAGACCATAGAAAGTTTCTCGGACAGAACTGCGACGGGACCTTTCCGAATCGGACATCAGAACGGGAAAAAGAAAAATCGTCGGAAGCACTCGAAAGTCTCGGATGACAATTTGTCAGATAGGCAATCACCCGACAAGACGTATTTTTAAAAGATATATTTTAGCACTTCTTTGATGAATGGCTTCCTAAAAATGTCAAATTGGAAATTCCTCTCATCATTTTTTATTGTTCCCGTCAGAGTTCGATAGCGTTGCCGATCGGATGAGAAATACGTTGGAGCGATCGACGCCTGATGCCGTCTGCATTCGAGTTACTTCCCACCTCACCTTAACCCGTCCGGTTAACATCGATTCTGACGTCACCACCAATCGCAAACCTTCCTCGGCGCGCCTCTACCGGCCAGTTTTCCTACTTCTTTCTAGCATCCTCACCGTCTCACTTTTTCATTATCCGCAGGGATGCGCCCGTTAGAGTCTCCCGCATCTATTTCATTCGGTCCAAAACATCAGCAACCGGCGCTCGCTCTTATCTCTAACTACGACCGCTCTGCAAAAATAACGACCACATAATTTTTAAATTCATTTTCGGACCACAAAATGGTCCGAAAAACGCGCAAATTTCTCATCCCGTTGAGAATCGGAACAAAAACTTTCATTCTCGAGCGCTCTTAAATCTAAGTTGTAATCATTGTCGAATGCGCCTCCGGTACTTTTTCGACTTTTCTTCTTAAAAAAATTAAATCTTTCATAAGTTTGTCTACGACGTTATTCTGGCAGATAATAAGTTATTTTCGATTAGAAAAGAAATGTCTCTATTTTCATCGAGCAAAACAGATGAAAGAGAAAACCAAGTAGTAATCTAGAGTGTGATACAATAACACATAAGAAGTTAAGAAGCCAAATGAAAACCGACTTAACTCTTCTTTTTTAACGTCACTTCCGTTCGTCGATAGAAAGAAAAAAGAGAGAGAGAGAGATTCCAATTAATGGGCTGGTAGAAGTTTATATCGAACCGCTCGACTTGTTAATTTATATCTAAAACGATTGGTTTTAAAAGCTCGATTGACCCGAAATAGTTTTTGTGTTAGTCGAGATTCAATTCCGGTAAATGAGGAATAAGTCGAAAAACGATCTCGCTATGACACGACGAGGAGGTCGAGAGAATAATGGTCACCTCGTGTCCTTAACAGAAGTAGTTTGGAAGTGGATCCAAACCGGTCACTTTGCAGATGGACATGACACACTATCTATTACCGGGAGGTGAGAGGAACTGCTTGTCTCCATTCTCTGTTCCGATGTCATTTGTCATAGCAGTTTGTCTCCCTCCATAGCCGAGTTTCTGATGTCTATCTCTGTCCGAACGATGTTCATTTGCGACATTCTTTTGTGAACGTGACCTACAACAAAAGTTTGCAAAAAAAAAAGAACCACTCGTACTTTGTCCGAAAATGAATTTTTCAAATGGTCGAGATCCGACTCCACCGAAGAAGTTTTTCGACGAAAATAAAGTTATCAATCAAAATTGTTTAAAGCTTTTAAAGTCGCATTAATTTTATTTCTTCTATTTCTGTCATATAAAAATTTGAAAGGAACCAATAAACTTCTATCGCTATTTTTCAAGACGGTAATTTATTTCAAAAATTTATGAAACGACGTGACTAAATTGTATTTCCCTTAATGGAACGTATGTTATAAACAGAAACGAATAGAAAATTTTTTTCCGAGTTCATCAAATAAAAAAAAAAATATATTTATCAAATCGACAAAAGATATAAAATCCAGGAAGCTCGACAGTAACATTGTCAGTATTACTGGATTTTTACGTAGAAAAACAGATCGTTTATCATCTTATCATGTTTAATTATCACGAAACTAGTAGTTTATTAACTCAGTTAATTCCAAATAAACAGATTTTAAAATCAAGAAGTTTACTAAAAATCATTTGACGTAAAGAAAAAGAAAAATTATGATAAATGGTAAATTTAATCTCCAAAGAATTGTTAAAATAAGATATCTTACTTTAGAGGAGAAAACATAAAAAGAAAAAAAAAGAAGTAAACGCATAAAGAAAAAAATAGTGAAACAAGTTACGGACAGAAATAAAAAAAAAAGATCAGCTATTTTGTCGAAAGATCGCGACTTCAATCATTCAAAGTCATCTCTACTTCAAAATGTCATTTTGTAAAAAATTGCTCGCGTCACCCAAAAAATTTTTGAATACTTGTGACGTCATTTTCGACATTTTTCAAATCCTGTAGAAGTCGTTCATTTCAAGAATAGTTTTTGTTATAAGATTTGTTGATCAATACGAAGCGGAGGACAGTCGGGGTAGATACACGGTTGCTTTTGTTCATGTCTTTTTTATCGAGTATTGGTCACAGGATTGCATTTATTTTCCCCCTATCAGACATGGTTGTCCTCAAATACAACACAAAGATTATATACATCGTTTGGCACGATATTCAGTTCCACTCAAAGTTTTCATCTGAACGAAACTCGACCATCTTATTACTCCCTGTCGACCTTTTTTTTCCTCCATCTGCTCGCTTTAGATCCACTCGGAGAAATATGTGGAGTGATAGATAACCTTTTTCTTTTTATCTGCCCTGTTTTACTTCGAATACCTGCCTATTCTAAATCATATCTACTCAAACTTTTAACTTAAATAGCGAATGTATGGTCTAATCTAACATTTTTCCTTCTCTTTCGTGACTTTACTTTCTGACCAGTTTAAGCATTAGAGGGAAAAAGTAAATAAGATAAATCTATCCTCGTTGACTTGTTGGTTCGTAGAAAATGGTCTTTTTTTTTCTTTTTCTTCTTTCCTTTTAACTCTCTGTGCTTCGATCTTGTAAATAGACGCTAAACCGAAGCATATTTTAATATTTTACCAGGAAAATAAACTATATGAAGTGCATAAATCCTCCGGAAATATTTTTTTATAACTTTTTTAAACCGATATTTTACGGTTTTATTGAAAATTGGAATGAATTTGTAGCTTATTTACAAGTTTATGTTGCTGGAAATAAATTAAAGCGTCACCTCCAATTTCTTTAAAGTATCAAGCTATTAATACGGTTCTTAGCTCTTACTTAAATTTTATTGAAATCTAATTTAGAAACGAGATATATTTTCGATTAAATTGTAGAAATTAACTTTGATTAAGGTCTGTAAAAATTATGTTTAAAGCAAAGTATTCATCTCTCAAGATTAAATCATTCTGTTCTATTCTCGAAGAAGTAGATTATGAGAATCCCCTCAGCAATTTTATGGAGTTACAAGAAAGAATAAGTTGATTAAACGTTTGCCATTGTTTGCATGTAAGAAAGACTAAAAATAGTTTAATTACGGAGTTTGACATACATATCAATCTTATTTTGGCGTTATACGTAAATCCTACATTAACACCTCATTTGCTAGATAAATGCATCAATAATAGCATTTGAGGATGAAAATTCGAAGACGAAACACGCTTATAAAATACAGTACAATAAAATGTTTACGTTCTTAATGTTTGACTAGAGTAAAGTAACTTGTCTGTCTCTGTTCGAATATCATATATAAATTTATATTTTTATGAGTATTTTGAAAAAAAAGTCGAAGAGTTAAAATAAAAATAATGGATGAGAAAGTAACTTCTTTAGTTTTTAGATTCACCAGTTTGACGTCGTTTGAACAAGATGACAGAATCATCGTCTTGAACTGTCACTAGAAAAAGGAGAAAAAAAAATTCCTTAGAAGGAGAAGGGAAAAACTATACAGCGAATTCTCTTCTAAAAAACATTAAGAAAAATGCGATACAAAAAGAAGTTTTGGATAGTTTTAGGTATCTGGGAGTTTTGTCAAACAATGGAAAGGCATCGGTTAAATTAAAAGTCGAATATGAAATGAGACTTTCTCTGTTAAAAAGGACAATTTAAACAAGTAAAGAGAGAGAAGTTTTATCGCTAGGAAGGTCACAAAAGACTTGTTTTTTCAAAACGATATTTCCTACTTTTTTTAATTTTTCGACAAATCTTGCAAATTCTGAAAGTAAGAAGTGAAGATGAAAATGACTCTCTTCTAGATAAGGAAGGAGGGGAATAAAATCTTTTCCCCTTCTCAGGTATCGTTGTCTGTCAAAGCTGCACTTCTTTGAGACAGATGATTCATCCAGACTTTTCTGATGTCAAATCGTGTGCTCGTCGGCCGAGACATTTTAATTAAAAGTCTTTCCAGGCAAAACCTACTTCAATTTACGACAGGGAAACAAAATGACTGCTTGCTCGTGCTTCTGTGATTAATTTAGCTCGGTTCCTTATTCGGTCCGTCCTGCTACTAACACATGCTTGTTAATCCTGTTTTCCCGCCTAACAATTCTCTACTGGAAAAGTGCATAACCCGCGGCTCCGCTTAAATAAGTTTTTCTCCATTTTCTTTCCCATGAAATATTCATTCACCCGTTTTCGTGGACAGCGACCATCCGTGTTTAAAATGACGGATATATTATGCCTACTAAAACGTATGACAAATCGAGGAGTCCGCAGCAAAATAAATGATTTATAATATCCAGAATTTAAAAATACGAACCTAAAGAATGCTTCAAAGACGCATTATTATATTGTCGGGAAAGAAATTCAATGAGCATTCACGTAATAAATATAGACCCTGACGTATAGAATATTTCGTATTCATAAATCAATAAACCGTGTAAATATTCAGAGGTAAGTCAGAAGTAACTTTAGTTCTTTTTCTCAATGTTTAAATCATGTGGAAATACCTTCTTTTCCCCAGTTTTAATAATTTTATATTTAATTTATAAAAAAAGAAAAATCCGGTGAATTGTTTTTTTTATGAACATAATAATTCTAAACAATTTTCGGGAAAAATTTTTTCATTTAATATTATCGATTACTTATAGCCGTGGTAATCCTACTGAGAAGGAATTGGCCACAACACGGGTTAGAAAAAAACTTTGACCAATAAAAGAAAAAGTCTTTTTTACGATTCTTAAGAGATATATCTGTAAAGAGAGACAATATCAGACAATCTCGATCGCCATTAAGAAGATATTTCCAAACACAGCAACAGGCAATGCCCGTTTCCAGAAAAGGAAATACTCTTAAGGATCAGCCAAGACGAACTACCCACTACAATCACTTATCCGACAAACCGAGTGCGACAGAGATCTATGCTATCTTCCACCACCTGCTATCCCATTCGTCAGAGTTTCGAGCACTCTTTTCTACCTGATCCACTCTACTTGTTCGTTTGTGGATCATGCAGGTGTTTCAATTCTCTGCAGCTAAGCGATTGCTCCAAATGGCGATACC